ATTATGTGCAGTATTAGTTGCACTCCATTTCAGACAAGAATTTGAAACAAAAAAAAAAAAAAGAAACCCAAAAAACACCGATCCTATCTGCATGGCATTTCATTTATCATAAATGAGAACTCTAAACACAGATTAAGGTCATTACTCAGTGCTTGTTATTTAACCTGCTGCGAAATGGAACTGCAAGTGCCTTTTTTTTTTTTTTTTTGAAAGGACAGAAAAGAGTTTCTAGTTCAGTCATTGTTTCTGTGTACGAGATTTTGCCACAAAAATCTAAAGCTATTTTCTTTCTTCTTACAGTGATACTGCTCAATGATTCACGAAGAAAAAAACTCCTGCTCTTTTGACAAAAAAGAGAGTGTTCTAAGAGGTAATAGCCACCTTTTCCAGTAAGTCACAATGTTCTCCAAGTCACAGCACTGACTCTTTCTTCACAACTACCCTCAGGCTTAAACTGTACAGCCACAAAAACTACTGGTGGAAAGAGACTTTGTACAAAATGAGCTGGCGCTAGTTCCGAGTCTCTTGATATAAAGCAACAGGTTCCAAATAATTAAGAATTTGGATTCTAATAAAAGTGAGAGGATCACTTGTTAGACAGTTGGCCATCAATGACATGAAGGGAATAAAATGAGAACTGTAAGTAAAATAGGTAGGTAAATATTTCATAAAAATAGTTTATGAAAATAAAATGCCTTGCCAAATATGTTAAATGGTTTATGGCTTCTTTATACCAATTCCTCAGATCTAACATTAAACTGAATAACTTCTTAATCCCTTTGCCTTATACATTAGCTTTCAAAAGGACTAACTGTATTAGACTCCCTACTTAAAAGCCATTAAAACAAAGGATTGCACCTGCAAGGATTACACCTGCAAGCTATTCTATACACCTGCGCAAGAGGCTCTCAGACTTCATGTACTTTAAAAACTCAGAAGTGCTTACAGCACCACCTTTATCATTTTAGTTGGCAGTCATAACATTTTTATCCAGCTATGCTTTAAAGCCACTGGGCAATAGGCCATTTGAACAATGACTTGGCATATGGGCCATTCTTATGACCACGCTTCTTGGATGTAATGAGTGAGTTCAAACAAGTCATGGAGCAAGTCCAGAACAGTTTGCAGACATATTGCTTACAAATCCCCATCGAAACCACTGCAAAATGGAAGCAGTGACTAGATTTTTAAAAAGCAAAGACACTGGAACATAATACAAGCTTGGCATTTACATATCAGCTTTTTTGTTGGAGAACCACAGGCCTACCTAACATGTAGCTATCAATGCTCCACTGTAAATACAATCATTTTACAAGTGACTTTCCCACAGCTCAAGCATTATCCATTTTAACATGAAAGTCATAATCTCTTTATTTCTTACTTTGAGATCCATAGCAAAGTATGTCTGTGATTTCTCCGTTACATTCTGCTCAGACTTATATACAGTCCTCATTACACTTTATCTTTCCCTACTCTAAAACTCCTCCCTCTACAGCCCTGACACCCATCAACTCTCTCCAATACAACTGCAACACAGATGCCGACATTTTGACTGTCGCTTTGACCATACCTTTTCCTTGACTTGTTTCCTATGTTTACAAGGTTAAGTTCAGACTCCATGGGTATTTATATATGTGCTCTGAGAGCCGCTCTAATTAAAGCACCCAGAACATCACATGCATCAGGGTCTCCATGCTGAAAAGTGACAGCAGGGGTGCTTTAACTAAAGCTCGAATGAGCTCTATAAATCGAGTCTGCTCCGATACGCTGCAATTACAGTGCATCAGAGCAGCCTCAATGCACATGTATAGGCACCCTGCATTCTCACACTCAAAGTTCTTCATGCTTCTCCAGTCTTCTCTTATCATATTCTCCACCAACACACCCCACTTTTTTTGTTCAGCCAAAGAGGCCAGCTTTTTTATTCTGGTTGACACTTTATTATAATAAATGCATATTTGCATTCCTCCAAGCTACTCTTCATATATACAATCCACTGCCTGCACCAAGTCATGTGTTCCATTACCCTCTCATCCTTCAGACCCTTTCTGGAGATCCAATTCTATTGCACTGCCTATAGTTGGTTTGCCTATTCTTGGGTATTATGGATACCTATACTTCTAAAATAAAAGAGCAAATGAGCAATTTCATTGTCCCCCTTATTAATCATTTCTGTTTGTCACTTTTGATGCTTTCCTGAAGAGATTGCAGGCTAAGAAAACATCACATCTCCATTTGTGTTTGTACAGAACATATCACAATGCAGCCTGTGTTCCAGTTGTGGCCTATTGCAATAGAAGTGTTAAGAGGATTCTTTGGTCATAGCAGAACTAGTCCTGGCCTGACTTTCAAAACTGCACTTGCAAGATTTCATATGATGAAAGTTGCATCATATGAAATGTGATACCATGAAGAGCATGCTAACATGTACTTAACTATATGCCATTAGTCTCTAAGATGTGCTGTGACAGATGTGGCTTTACATACATTTTATTAACTACTGTAAAAAAAATTCAGAGATTTTCCTCTCCCAGCACAACTGACTTGAGATGATAACTTGAGATTTAACTTGCTAGCAAAGAATCCTAAGATTCCTAATTAAGTGGATATAAATATACAACAAATCCCTGCTGCCTGCTCGCCCCAGAGGCCTGCAATGTGAAGCTTTTATCAACACACCCATAGTATTAAACTTTTTCAGATGCCATGGCTTGGGGCACAAATGCATTTTATGAAATGATGTGTATTGTTCTTAAGCTTCCCTATTTAGTTCCAATAACATGGAACATACATTGTATTTAAAAACCCAGCTTTAATGAAACCACCAATTATGTGTTCTTGGGATCTGAGATGACAGTAGACTGCTCAGCCTTAAAAGGTTTTAGCTGTATTAAATTATTAAAGAGTGTATTTTCTAACCTAATTCAAGCTCTAGTTCCCTTGTGGGACCAGAGGTAGGAACTTGAGGGCTAAGGCAACCTTATTTTATTTCCAACCCTGCTGCCAATTCCCAGACTACAGGCAAACTAAAAACTGCACAAGGAAAAGGCAGGGGGTGGAAGGGGCAGGAAGAGAGGGGAGGGAAGTGAGGGGAAAACAGTAACCTAAAATGAAAATAAATATCCACTCACTTTTGTTAAGTGCTTTAAACCCTTGTAGCACTATTTGAAAAAAAGGAACAAGCATCCTAACTTATTTTCCAGACACCTTAGTCAAAGTAATGAGCACCTGAACCCATTTGTAGTCTTTACTGCTTTTTTCCAGCTTTGCAGGTCCCTAAACCAAGTTTAACTACTATCACAGGTTCAAGCTGCATTACATGCATCAGCATACAGTGTTCAAGTCATCCAAGTAGCAGCAGCAACTAAACAACAAGGCTGTCTGTAAAGGAAAAAGACTAGAAATGGTGTGGACTTATACATACATACCCTTTGTTTTCCTACAAATACCCCTCCCACGCTTTTAGCATTTTTGAAGTTACTCAACCAAGTAATCCACAGAAGGTAATTGTTCCTAGGCTGCTTATTCTATGTAGAGGCCTTGTCCCAATGGGACCACTGACTGGAATAGTACAAAAGCTATTCTAGAAGAGCTTTGTGTTTGGACGCTATTCCAGAGCGAGCGCGATTCTTTTCCCAAAACAGTTCTCTTGCTAATAAAGCACAGACGTTATTCTAGAACAAGAGTGACTTAGTCTGTAACAGTATCCATATTAGACTAGAACAGCTATTCTAAATCATTTATTTACTCCATAGCTTTCCTGTCTAAAGAAAGCAATAAACTTACTAGCATGAGGAAAAATAGGAGACTGCAAAGGAATAAACAGGATAGAGAAACAAATGAAGACAGAGAAAGTTATAAAGGAATAACCAGTCTCATGACTGAGGCACAGGTGTTCTGTGAAGCATCAGGATTGTAATCCTTCATCCCATCACATCTTTATCCTGGGAAATGGGTTCCTCATGCCTCACTCCCTTATTGGAACAGCACCTCTTTATTCTGAAGCATTGCCAAGCAAATGCCGTTTGCTTACATGCTGTTTTGGGATTTAGGAGTGAAATGGAACCACTAAAGAGAGACAGTGGTCCAGAGTTCTCTCTGCCACACAGCTGCAGCGAGACAGCTGCTGGAGTCCGGAAGTAGCTGTACATACAGCATTCAAGATAAGTCTGCAATGCGTTGGAAGGCCGCAGGAGGAGGCTGTAAAGGAAGCAGCTTCCTTCTTAAGAGAGTCCTGGAAAGGTCGTTGTGATGAACAAGAGAAGGGAAGAGACAGAACTTGGAAACAACTGCCAAAATAGAGCAAACAACACAAAAACCAGGAGTATCACAAAAAAAAAAAAAATGCAGAGAAGCTGAACGGAAGTGGGAATCATGGAGGCAACAAAGCAGAAGTTTACAAAAGAGCGTATGTTTCGGACTCTCAAACTTCTTAGTAGTTTGAAATACTTAAAATCAGACAGACAGGAAATCTCTCTTGCATTTATAAGATTAATTTACAACATGGATATTCCTGAAAGTCAGCTCGTTTGCTGACTTCATGTTCCTTTTTTTAGGGCAATATGGGAAGACTTATAATAGTCTGAAATTCCAAACATTAAAATGGACCTATGCTTTTAACTTATGTTTATTCTATTTTTAAAAACAATAATTTTAAAGCTAACAAAGTATGGGCTGGGCTAGGTTGGGACTTGTTGCTGGACCTTAGAGCTTTATTTACAAGGTAAAAAAGAAAGAAAGAGCACTGCACATATGTGGTAAAATAGTGATTGACAGTGAGGTTTTTTGATTCTTAACACCTGTAGATAATAAAGGATAAGACAATTCTAAAGAACAAATTTGTTGATTTACCAACAAAATGTTTCATATTGAGTATTTGCTCATTTAGAACAGCTAACAAAAAAGAGAATTTCCTTAAGTTTTAGTGTTATTACTCTTAGTTTTACAAGCAATATACTTAAATATAGCACCCCAAAAAGAAGCAGTGGGTAAAAACTTACTTCTGGGAAAGTTTGTCTCCTGTATCTGGTTACAGACTGAAATATAGCATAAGCTTTTATCTGAGACATGAAGAAAAGAAGAGAAATGAAAGAAAACTAGCTCCTTTTTAAGGAAGCTTACTTCTAAAGAGCATGCCCAGTAGGTGCTGTATTGCTTTCTTTAATAATGGTAGAGGCAACTCCTAAAAGAGGAGGAGCTAGGGTTGTACTGATATAAGGAATCCAGCAGTACATTACCCTTTCTATACAGCTGAGTAGAAAATGAAAAGACAAGTAATACTACTTTAAGAGTTTTTGCTGGAGAGAGGGGAAGGGGGTTTTAGAGTTCTTTAGCTACTTATACCACATGAAGAAAAAGGAGAAAAAGTTTTACTTTTTCTAGCTGCTTAAATAATTATTTAACTTGATACATGAATTTGCTACTCAGAGAGTCTAGTCTTTGTTCTGTCTATTCGCTTGGTTTTGTGGATTCTAATAATGCTGTTTTTCTCTTAATATTTAGAATTGTAAACAAGATAAAAATACTCTTGTTGTCTTTGGTACTGTTTAGCCTTTATGTTTATATGGCTTAGTTGTAAGGGTTGGGGATCCTTACTTTCTTCATAAAAAGACTGAAACATAGGCATAAACATTTGGGGGTTTTTCTTTCCTACCTCCCAGGACGACTGGATCTATCTCTGAAAAAATAGTGCTTTCTTTTAATACAAAAACAACCTTCCCCACCGCCCACTCCTTGGTATTTATGATGAAGTCCCTTGTGATCTACTGCCAGTCCTATGTTCAAGGTGACAAGAACTAAAGTACAACACAAGTGTCTTAGCTGATCTGAAAAGATTTTTTTTTTTTTGTCTTGGACTGGTGGTAAATTTATCTAACAGTTCTATTCATACAGTCCAAGAAACTTCTTGGTCTTCCATCTAGTTTAACAGATCTTAACCTTTTTTAGGCACCCCTCTTAGGCTTGAGGTACTCTTGCATAACTTTTGTGAACTTGAGCAACACTCCATTTCAAAATCTAATTTATGTATTAAAAGGCTGTCTTGCAGAGGGGGAAAGAGTAAGGGGAGCAGCTACGCAGGAAGAGCCTGGGCCTGCCCTTACCTGCTTATCTCCTTACACCTTACTTACCTCCTCCTACTTCCTCCTTCAAAGGACCTTACAGCACTCCAGGGTGCCCATCATATTGATTGAGAATCACTGACTTAGTTCCTGAAAAAAACTTGTCTGTTATTTTTCATACCTATTTACTTTATGCCTAGGCTCTGTTTGGTTTTGGATGGTCTTTTAAGTAAGAAGCTTTAGCTTACTTTTTTTATAACAAAGCTCTTTAAAGCAGCTACTCAAGTTCTTTTTGCTTTTATTTAACACAACTGAAGATTTGCTTCCTTAGATATACTTTTAATTGGTGTTTATTTAATGTAATCTTATTACTCCTCTTTAAAAGGTTGGTAAAATAATAATGCTAGATATAAATTTATAGAAAATCTGCAACTCCAAATAGCTTCTACAAATCTGTATGTCAAATTATAGTATTTCTAGCTAACCTTCTTTTCTCAAAAGTCACTGTATGTTAAACTAGTTGAACTGCTCTCCACCTTAATTGTCTGATCCTGATCCTCTTAACACACACTCAGCTTCACTATAATGAGGGGTTCCAATGTTAATGGTCATTACCCTGCCAGCTCAGAAAAAGTGAGCACTGATTGACAGATGCTGATGCCACTATAATTCAGTTAACTTTTTTAAAAAAGGCTTTAGAGTTAAAATATAAACAAGCTTAGGCTTGATCATTATCTTGTAGACACAGTACAGAAAAATCTAGTTTGGAAAAAAACAGTAAATGTGGGACAAAAACAGTAAGGTTTTTAGATAAACTTGGTATGTGTAAACCGCTGATGTTGTAATGAAGACTCACTTACGTTAGTGGCTATTTTTCAGAAATATTGACTACCAAAATTGTGCAGGCATCAATCAAAACACGTGCATATCTAGTTTTTTTCTGTACAAAATAGCCACACGTTATAGTTCCCTAAAATAGTTAATTTTAGTATTTTAAAGCAACAGATGGTAAGGCTTTAATCTCTTTCAGTTGAAGGCAGGCTAAAGATATGATACTTCAAACACATACACAAGTTTCTTCATCTTTTGCTGAAGCTAAATATACCCAGGTCAGATTTTCACTTGATTGAGCAAGCTTTGAAATAGGCCCCCAGCTGGGGTGAAAAAATTCTGTCTGTGACACAAACAAACTCACTTTTACTGGGGAAAAGATAATGTTTTTACCATTGCTTGCTCCAATTTATTTTTGCTCAACCTTGTCATAAGGACCCGACAAGTCGAATGCTGATTGAAATTGGGTTTTGATGGGATTAGAGGAAAGGTCTATTTGTGGATCAGAAACTGACTTAAGGATATTAAACCAAGTATGGGTATAAATGGTCAGTTTTCAGAATGGAAGAACATAAACAATGGAGTACGCCAGGAATCTGTGCTGGGACTGCTGCTGTTATTATGTTCATAAATTACTTTGCAAGGGTGGAAGGGGGGTCAATACCAAGGTGGATAAATTTGCAGAGGACACAAAATTATTCAGTGTCATATGGGACCGTTCAACCTAGAAAAGAGATGATTTCAGGGGGACTTGGTGGCAGCTTACAAATATATCGGGGAGAGCATCAGGGGCTAGGTGAACAACTATTCACCAAAGTGCCCCTGGGGAAAACCAGGAGTAATGGTCATAAACGCCTAGAGGGTTTCAGACTGGATATAAGGAAAAACTTCTTCACTGTTTGTGTGACCAGATTCTGGAATAGACTCCCAGTGGGGGTGGTGCAGGCACCTACCCTGGAGATCTTCAAAAGGAGACTGGACATACATCTTGCTGGGGTATTTGACCCCAGCAGTCTTTCCTGCCCAGAGCAGGGGGGGCTGGACCTGATGATTTCACGAGGTCCCTTCCAGCCCTAAACTTTTATGAATCTGGAAAAACTAAGGTGGACTGTGAAGAACTACAAAAAGATTTCATAAAACTGAGTGAATGGGGAACATGGCAAATGAAATTCAATATTGGTAAGTGTAAAATGATGCACCTGGGTAGAAATAACCTAAAATATACATACATGATGATGGGCTTTACACTACTTGTTAGCATGCAGGAAAGAGATCTGGGTGTCAATGCAGATAGTTCACAGCTCACTGTGAAACATCAGCTCGCTGTTCAGCAGCAGTCAAGATGTAAAATAAAATGCTAGGAATTATCAAGAAGGAACCATAAACAGACAAAAAATGACTCTCATACTTTATAAATCTATGGTGCATTCACACCATACCTGGCAGGTATTAAACCTAACACACCGTAATTGGTGCTATTGCACATTAGCACAAACAAATGGTCTTTTTGTATTGTTAATGAGCAGTAGACTAAATCTACTGCACCTTAGCACGGGCTTTGCCTGCCACACTAAGGCGCAGTAGAATTAGTCTATTGTGCTCAAAGCATCTCATGTAGATGCGCCCAATAAATTACAGTTTTTATATTCCTAATGTTCCATCCCGTAGGCTCTTATGCTGCAAGAGCTCTGCATGGCTCATAAAGCACTTCACTGGCTCTGTATTATACTGACAATAAAAATGAAATCAAAATTGTCTTCTGTATCATAGAGGTTTCTGTTCCAAATACTTTCCTCTAACAGATGATCTAAATGTCCTTTAAACTCCTAATGATGTACTATGGTGATATAATTTACAGATTCTTTCCAGAACATGCCATATCACAAATCTTGCATATTCTAGTACTAGTTGCTCAATTCCCCTGCGTGAATAGCTACGTTCTGGCATGGGTAGACATGTACCAAATGCTATCATATACATGAAGCGCCTGTTCACATTCTAAAATGTACCCCTGCTTTCCTCAGCATATATATCTTATAAGATAATTTTACTTCAAGGGTCAGTCACCCTCAAAATACACTTCTACACTGAAAAACGACTGTAAATGCCGCAGCATGGATTTGTTTGATGTTGAATATGTTACTCTTTTCTAAGTTAGGATGTTAGTTTTAGTTGGTGGTACTGCTAATTGAACTCAGGATTAAATGGTCAAGCTGTATTTTTCTCCTGGGTTCTGCATTGTCATTATTAAAAAGAACATTCTGCAGATCAGCTCCTGTTTTCAGTTGCATTCTAGTAGCCCCAAGGTTATGGTTTTTGCCTCTGGTTACACAGGTGTGATTAGAAAAGTAATTTAATTTTGTCAACTGAATTTTGCCAGTGCCACTGATCTGCATGGCAAAATGGACTTTCCTTAATTCTTCCCACCCTGCACCAATAACCAAATGCATTTACACACACTTTACTCCAATTAATAAAAAGCACGGGGAGGGGGGGCTTCTATTATACATAGGGCATGTCTACATGTTGACCTATGGCAACGTAGCAATCGCACAGGTCTACATATGATTGCCAGCTATGTCACCGTAGCAGTGTGCTCCCCTAGTATAGTGCGCTGCTATGATGAGACATAACTGGGAAATTTACCCAAGTGTAGCGCACGCAGAGCAGGAGACTATACTGTGCCACACTCTAGTACTTCTAAAATGAAGTACTAAAGTACAGTGCCATAGCAACATAGTCATATGGTGACATGTAGACACACCCATTGAGAACAGATGATTTAAAAAGCACTATTTTATATTCTTCATTGCTTCCTCCAGAACAGAATCACACATTCAAGTTTCCATTATCTCCAGGAGCACACCTCTTGAATATTCAACACTTGAGAATTGACACACTGAACCAGATTGCTCCTTGACTTGTAGCTGCTGTTCAGTACTTGTCTAGTGTCACCTTTTTAACACCATTTGAGAAAAAGGACTGGAGTGAGTAGGACACACAATATTGGACTCTGACTCCCACTCTACAGCCAGATCTCTTGTCAATACAAGCCAGTCATCTCTCTGGTAAAAACTGGCAGAATATAAATAACCATTTCATTGCTCTGATGCCGGGTTTTTTTTCCAAGCACCTTGTACGGATGGCATTATAGAATAAAAGTGAAGTGGTGAAACAATCTGATGTAACTGATTCTTCTAAATCTGTCAGTAGTAAAAGACTGCAAATTACAAATCCTGGACAGGTTACTGGTGTAAATGTGAACTTGCTAACAGGGGGTCTTTGGCACTGTACAAAGAAAAAGACACATAACCTGCCCGGGTCACGTGTTGAGACCTGGCTTAGATTGATAGGGACATAGTTCCTCTCTGCTGCCTGTTCACCATCTGAGAAATAATCTCATGGTGGCTGAGT